AAGGTCTGAAATAGATTCTAAATGTAGAATTTACATTATGTCTAGATCTAGAATTTACGTTAAGTCTAGTGACCTAGATCTAGATCTAGATTATAGTTCTAGATTCATAACGTTTTATTCCTTCGACAGCTGATCTGTTGATCTTGAGAAATGTATTTGTATTGTATAATAAAATAACAAGAATGTTAAAACATTGATAATAGCGTTGAAACGTAATAAAAACAGCAAATGGGCGTATTGTTAAAGTTATACTATAGCCAACAGAAAATTAGCTTTAGAACGCGTTAAACATTGAAATGGGAACCAACTCTTCGATGGAAGCCGCCATTGTTGATGTAAAAAGTAAACAAATCATGTGACGTCACTATTCACTCAAAGTAAAGCCATCTTTCTAAACTTTTATAATTAATGTGGTTAATCCATCAATAAATTAATCAATAAATTAATTAACTTCTTTAAATAAATTTGTGATTAACAGTCTGTCTGAAAACAAATATTGTTCTCTACCTAATTACTATTTTACAGCTCTACACATAGTGCAGATTCTCTCCAGTAGCCAATCAGACAAACACATAAATAAACAAAGTTGAGTTTTAGTAGTAGGCCTATTTAGATAGATTAGATGATAGTGACTATTCAAATTACGCTATTTCTATTTCAAAGTAACCTGTTAAAAGAATATTAAAATACTGTTTTGTTTGATTTTAGTCAAACCGGAATGTTTGTCTAAAAGTCAGCTAAGTAAAGTCAATACACTATCTTTATACACATTTATTTTAATAAAAGAAGATCAGTTAATTATACATACAAATCTTTTTTTTTAAATAAGACATTAATTAAAATTTTGAAACCCTAATGCTGATTTACATTAATAACTACTATAAAAATGACAATCGCTGAGGTAACTAATTTTTTTTTCATAAGTCTTGGCTAAATTAAAAACAAATTAAACAATGTGGTTCTGTTTATTTCCAAAAAATAGAAACTTGTAATGAAGGCGCTGTTCATTGTGCAAATGGATTCTGCATTAATGGAATAAATGTTTGTGACGGCGTTAAAAACTGTAGGGACGGATCCGACGAACACAATTGTTGTAAGTGCGATATAGGAAAAAAAAGTCTAAGAGAAACACTATCTTCATGATTAGGTTCAACGGCCAAAAGTATAATGTTCTATGTTAAAGAAGTAGTGTCTACTATTAGTCTGTATGATCTACAAATGTGGGGGCTCTGTGTAAAGGTGCGATTTGTCTCTATATACTTTATTAGTAAACAAAAATTAAAGTCAGATGTGGTTCGACACCGTTCTTACGTGTACCATGAAAATTGGGAGTTGATGAAAATAGGCTACTACTGAGAAGGTTTTTGTAAACAAAACAAAATATAATTTGATATGGGCGGCGCCCGGGAGGGTGCGATTTTTGTCAATTCACAATTTGGCAACCATAATTTCAGAGCCACTATGATAGTAAGTGGCAACCGTTAATATTACGTCCTGCATAACTGGTAAGGCTTACTACTACTTTCAGCGTTAAAACTTCAACAGGCGCAACGGCCGGCGCCCTGTAGGCACGATGGGCAACAATCCGCTGAGTGCCCTGTAATACATTTTTTAATAATCAGAAAAAAGTAACCAAGTTTTGATTATTAACTGGGTTTACCTGGGGGCTCTGGAGAACGTCTCTCTACGTCCCTGAAACCTGGGCGATAACCAAAGTGTATTCTACCACACTATTACGGTTAGTGATTTACGTACACTCAAGGCTTTCATGCGGTAGATAACTGGAGGTTTATAATGGGAAACGGCTGTGCAGTTTGTAGGGAAGGTGCGACATCCATGCTTGGGTCAAAATAAGGCTTTCAGAAAAAACTAAAAGATTTAGCTCCCTAACCAAGGGGAATCCACTGTATGATTCGCCTGTATGTCCTCGTCAGCAAGACTCTACTGACTTCATTGCTAATACAAGCAGTGGCGTAGCTACCGTAAAGCTAGCGTAAGCAAGGCATAGGAGCCTAAGGCAAATAGGGGCCCTTTTTCGAAAGTTTGAGGGGGGGTACAAATCAAAAGTCTGAGGGGGGTGCAAATCATAAGTTTGTCCCCGTGTTGCCGGGAAGGGTCGCTACGCCTCTAACACTTTTTGCATAGGGGCCCAAAAATCCTAGCTACGCTACTGAATAAAAGTCGTAACTTATATTGAATCTGGAGCCCTAAACATCCATCTGTTCAACGAACTGTGCGAAGACATGAATAACGATCACGAGGTTATTCTTTGCCACACATCAGTACGCTGGCTGTCAAAAGGAAATGTTATTAATAGTGTTATTGAATTGAAAGATGAAATCAAGTTTGTTCCTGGAACTGCGAGAGAAACAGGACTTTGATATACGATAATGACAAAGAGTGGTTGGGGAGAGTATCATACTAAGATGATATATTCGAACATCAACATAATCATAATCTTGAGCTTCTTGGAAAACAAACGAATATTATCTATTTTTATGATAATCTCGGGACATTTTTAGTAAAGCAGCAAAATTGCCAAAGAAAAATAAATCTTGGAAATATTACCATGTTTGAGACACTCTGCAATGATAAAGATCAGGGGTCTCCAAACTTTTAACTATTAAATATCAGTTCGAGGCCAGAGTTTCTTCAGGTGGCAGAGCAGCAACCCCCTCCCTCCCCCCCCCCCCCCGGAAGGACGTCTGCTCACCCCCCCCCCCCAACAAAATATGATTTATGTAGAAATATATTAAAAAATTCCAAGTGTCCCACTCCCGGAGAAAAAAGGCTGACAGTGAAATACATCTTATGTAGGGAAGACAGCTCCTGTGTTAAAGTTCATTTCTTCATCCGCACCTCTAATGAACATAAGCAGTTAAGAGGTAGAACAGAGTTCCAGCGACTCATCCATTGCAATTTTAAAAATGGCAAACATCTGATGTTGACAGAAGTTGGTGGACCTTTTCTGGCTCATGTGTGTTTGCTCTGGTTGAATTTTTAGCAGTGATTTTTCTTTTTCTCTGTGCCATTTACATACACTTTTTTTTAAATAAGTGATTTAAATATAATACACTTATTGAATGATTTTTTTACTGTCAACACTAGTAGTTAACCTTGTTATAAATAAGTAAAATTATTTTTCTGAAGGCCATAAACTGCGTACAGTTGACTAATGTAATGTTGAAAAAAAAAAAACTTTAAAACTGTTATCATGCATGTGACGTAGTTTCACATGGTATTTTAATGCATTTTTATCAATATAAGAGGCAATACTGTCCATAAGCTGTTCATTGCCCGTGATTTAGTTGTATGTGCTAGTAAACTATATATTTAATTTGGCACTATAACATTTTTTTTCTGTCGGGAATTAGCATTTGACAAAGAAAAAAAGCAATACCGATTTAGTTAAATGCCGCATATTGTTATTATATAAATGTGTACAATAATCTTATACTTAGCGATCTGTGATATATTTTATTTAATTTACCCCCTAGCGAAGTGTAAAAATTCTTTCCACTGCAATAACCATGAATGCATCTCAAAAGATTTGATCTGCAATGGGAAAAATAATTGTAAAGATGGATCCGACGAACTGATATGTAGTAAGTCAAACATTAAATGACCATTTCAAACTTACACCAATGTCGTGTCTGTTGAGTTAACAAAAATAATATTTTAATTAAAACAAAGAAATTGTTTAAATTTGATTTACCCCCTAACGAGATGTAATGATGCTTACTGCTGTGCTGACGGTCAATGTATCTTAAATAATTTGAAGTGCAATGGCAAAAATTACTGTAGAGATGCGTCCGACGAACAAAAATGTGGTAAGTATGAAGTAAGGTAGTCTACCCCGAATGTGATAAATATATTTCACAAACATAAATAAACATTACAAACTTACTTTCATTTTACAGGTATTTAGTTAAATATACAATAGTTTGCTGAGATAATATATATTCAATTGCATATACCAACTAGTGAAATGTAATGAAGAATTAAAATGTCATGACGGTCGATGCATTACGAACAATTTTGTTTGTAATGGCAAAAATGATAAGGGTTACAGTGGTAAGTGTGAGATGTCAACAGTATAAGTAAATAATACATGTTACTGGTAATAATTAGTAAAACTGTTGTAATTCAACCGGTAGGAGGGTGCCATAGCGTGGATGTATAGAATTGGACTTGACTGGTAAAGGTTACTGGGGACGGTGCGAACTTGACGGTAGACGATTTGGTGCGAGAGTATTGTGCGCGTGTTCAATACAATATTTGCGGCGTGAGTGTGATGTGAGCATGACGCGACAATGTACCCATGACGTAAGACGCAGCAGGGAAGTTAGTTGGGGGATAGCTATAGTCGGAGACGGACGTATTCTTTGATATTGTGCAAATTTTTAAAAATGTATTCGACTGTCGCATGAACTCCACGGACAAGGTAAAGTAATAATAAAGTTATAATAAAGTTTCAGCAGCTAATGCAGTAATAGTAGAAATTAAACTTAATAGTGGCGAGCTGAAGGTCTGATGACTACGCTACGATTCAACGTGCGCAGTTTACAGCCTTAAAGTCAAAACAACCTTGTCCGATGACCTCTTGTCTCTGGCAATGGTTTACGGCCGGTAACAAAAACTAAATATCAAGTCCGATGACTATGGGTCAGCTTAATGCCCGTAGTTTAGGGCCTGTAGTAAAATAAAACTAGAAGTTTTAAAACTATTCGATACAAAAAAGCACAAAAATGCTGCAATAGTACAATTTATTTTTATATACTTTTAAAACTTAAAAGATACTTATCATCCAAATATTTATAGGTTACAAACAGTGCAGTTATTACAAAATGGGCTAAGTAAATAATACAGTAAGAGAGTCAGAAGAGAGAGAATTTTTTGGATTGTACCCCCTTTTATACATTCAATTGGCGGTGTGTCACGTAGAAAATCTAGCCAACTGTAGAAAAGCCGTGGAGGGGGGGGGGGGGGGAGAGATAAGAATGTACGTAGCTGGTGAGGGGGGAGTGTTAGCGCCTGTAGAGCGTGGTGGAAGCACACAATGTAGGTAAACGATTTTACCATCACTTGAGAAGGGGGAGGGGGTTGAATAAACATGTTACTAGAAATAATGTCATGTATTTTCTTTTAAATCATAACAACTTTAATATAAATGTATATTCTTACATTATTGAACATTAAAAAAAAACTTGAAAAATTTCTATGACATTCATATTATTTACTGTAGTCTGTCTTGGATCCATTAAATAATATCTAAAGTTTACAATAAAAAAAGAGTTTTTTTTAAGTAGTAAATAATTAAAAGTATTTGATTTTTTTCCGCAGATCGATGTTCTGAAGGCAATTTCAAATGCGACTCAATTTTCTGCTTTAGACCTCCCATGAGATGTGATGGCAGTCTTGACTGTACTGACCTGTCAGATGAACTCAATTGCTGTAAGTCAAGCTTACTGTTTATCAGTATACTTTACATATAATAGTATACTTTACATATAATCAGTATACTTTACATATAATCAGTATATATTACTTATAATCAGTATACTTTACCGATGATGCCGTAAATGGTACATCACACAAATACAACTGAGATTTCAACTGCAGCTTTAGAATGAAAGTCCTTTTCAGAAATTATTGCAGCATTCTATTAAATGTATATATTCAATCACTCAATGTTAAAACAGTTTTTTAGCATTAAAATGTGTCTATCTAAAGGAGCTAAAAATATAAAAAATCACGTAAGACTTTCAATAATAATAAATCATAGCAGTAAAATGGTGATTAAAATAATGGATATAAACTTAATTATAACAAAGATGCATGGATATCTCATATATACAATAATTATAATTGACCATTCTATGATTATTTAGTAGAAATATATAATTTAATCACTTTTCACTCTCCACACAATAGATTAACTTTTCGGCCTTTATTTTTTTCTCTACTGTTAAAACAAATTTTAAATGTTACAAATTATTTTTTTTTATTCAAATCGTTCACCAGCTAGTTGCGAAGGAGGCGCTTTCAAATGTTTTAGTAATGATCTTAACTGCATCAATAAAAACAACAGATGTAACGGAAAAACAGATTGTTTGAAAAACGAGGATGAAGAAAACTGCAGTAAGAGTTACCATGATACTTATTTGAGTATTGTAACGATAATGCCAGCGAAGGCGAAAGATGATTTACTTTTACACTGTGCAGTGTTGAGCAAACATAGTTCACTTGACTGTGTGACCGCGGCAGACAAAAGATTTTAATGTGGTTACTTCTGTGCCAGTCGGATACATATTAATGCTGGCTGAGCCGTTCTCTAGACTTTCATTTATAGCTCTCTGCCCGATCACGCCGTTCCAATGGATTTTATTTTTATTAACATTAATCTTTGCAATTAATAGTTATTAAAAATATATGATCTGAAAACTTAATACAGCACGGTATTTCTACTTTAAAGTAACCAAATGAAAATATATTCTAATAAATGTATTTTATTTTATTAACAAAAATTTATCCGTCTATATAAAACTATTTTTTTCAAATTCAAATTAGATTTTAAAAAAACTAAGTTTATTAGGTTTAAAAATAACATCATTATAAGTCAGCAAATTTTAAACTTAAAACAATATTTACATTATTTCTCGCATCATAAAATGATATACATCTTATTATTTATACTCTAGTCCATGCTACTTTAAACAAAATATGTTTATAAAAATTAGTTTCCTTACTCTCCCAACAGCAAGTTGTAATCAGGGCGGTTTCTATTGCGGAAATGGAAAATGTATCTCAGAAGATGAGAGATGTGACGGCTCTCCTAACTGTAAAGATAGATCCGACGAACGGAATTGTCGTAAGGGCAATATGCTTTATTCTACGTGAATTAGTTAGCGAAATCGCATTTCATAAAAAAAAACCAATAACAATATACGCATATTATTTTCTGTTCAGTTAATAAACAAAAATAACATTACACTTTGCTAAGACAACATTTTAATTTCTATACTAGCCTTTTGTAAAGGTAAAGCTCTCGACTGTTTAGACGGTTATTGCGTCAACCGGTATTCGAAGTGTGATGGCATACCTGACTGTGCAACCGGAGCTGATGAAATAAATTGTCGTAAGTGTATGAGGCGGGCTGTATCGCCCTGGTTTTTTTTTAAAGATGATGTCGTCATATAATACGGCAATTATATAATACTGTTCCACTCCTATGTCGATATAGCCATTTTGATACAGTACAGTGAGAAAGACCAGATAACTATGTATACGTATATATATATATATATATATATATATATATATATATATATATACATATATATATATATATATATATATATATATATATATATATATATATATATATATATATATATATAAGTATATATATATATATATACATATATATATATATACATATATATATATATATATATATATATATATATATATATATATATATATATATATATATATATATATATATATATATATGTATATATATATATATATATTATATATATATATATATATATATATATATATATATATATATATACATATATGTTACGATCAAAGCCCTAAGTGCGGCCAAAGCATATATATAGCGCGGTTTGGCCGGCCAATGTGCGCACTGGCCTAGACGTACTGGCCAAAGTCCGAAGCGCTTAAACTTTACAGTGTATTTTGTACATTGGCCGGCCAAAGCGCGCACTGGCCGGGATGTCCTGGCCAATGTTCGATTTAGACTAAGTTGAGATAGCGTTTTCATTATTCTGGGTGCGGTTTCATTTTGAGTATCGTATATTTTAGCTCTTTTTTGTATAACATTCTATATGCAACCACGCTGGTTGAAGGTGGCGCTCATGCAAATATCGAACCAACGTTTGATATGAAAACTATGTTTTTAGACCATTTGACTACAGTACTGCATGGAAAACCAAACAATAGCTTTATTCTCAGCAAAGACAAATACATTGCTATTATAGAGGACGTTAAACAGGCTAAAGCAAAGCAGACAAAAAAAATGTTGACTATAGTTGACTAAACAAATATGGATGGAAAAAGAGCTGAAGAGAAAGTACAAAAATATCACCAAAGAAATCATTACTATGTATCTTCGGTTGTGCAAGCCTTGTCAGACTATTGGTGCCCCAAGTGTGCTTCAATCAGATAATGGAAGAGAATTTGTGAATCAAGTTATTTCTGAACTAAAGAACATGTGGCCTGAACGTAAAGTAGTTCACGGAAAACCAAGGCATAGCCAAAGCCAAGGTTCAGTCGAACTTGCCAACCAAGATGTTCAAAACATGCTGATGATATGGATGCAAACAAATGAATCAGCTCATTGGACTGAGAGTCTCACATTCATTCAATTTATAAAAAATCGTTCTTTTCATCAAGGAATGTAACAATCGCCATACGAAGCTTTGTTTGGATGCAAAGCAAATGTGGGATTTTGCACTTCAAACCTACCTAGAGAGGCTCTCGATAAAATAGTTACTGAAGAAGATCTTGAGAACATTGAACAAGAAATGGAGGTTACCATAAATGCAACGACATCCTCAGCTAACACATCTACTGCCGTGGCGGAAAGTCCAGACCAATTGCGTGACAACAGATTATGTATAGTTTGTGAAAAGCATTGTAGTGCAGCTCTTTCTTATGGATCCTGTAGCAACGATGTCCATGCTATTTGTGGAATACCCAATGAAGAAGGTGAAGGGTACGGAGGGAACATTACCTGCAGATTGTGTCACAACAAACAAAACATCATGGAACACAGGTCAGCAGCTCATACTGGATTGCAAACTCAAGCTGCTAAGATGCTTAAAACATCAAATACAAAATTTAAAGATGGTGAAATGGGTGACAATGTACGCATCCGTGTTCCAGATGTTGACAGAGGTCGCGGTGATCCCCGAAGCGTGATTGCAGTTGTCATGAGCGTCAGTGCGGCTTCTACAAATTAGGAACGGAACATGGTGTTCTAAAAAACTGTATGCTAGAAGTGAGTTTTCAATTCTTCACTAAAAACTGCTCTTAGTGTCGTAAGTTGGCACTGATGAAAAATCACTACGAACCATCGCATCTTCACAATCATTGTCTGGGGGCCAACGTTACACTCGCTGCAATTGCACAACTAAGTGCACAACAAATTGCTGCTAGTGTAAAAATAACAAGCTGCTATGTAGGCCTAATTCTAAATGCCATAAAAGTTCAACCTGTTGTAACAAATGATAATAGTGATTGATTGAGACTATAGTATAATAAAAAAAATTAATTTGAATGTTTCTGTCATTTACAAAATCTGCTCATGATCTTCTAGTTCGGACTTCGGTCGGTCCACCATGGCCAGAACGCGGACTGGCCGGCCATAGGCCGGCATCAAGCAAAAGTTTTGGACTTTGACCGACCTATGGGAGGCGATATTGGCCAATAAGCGCATTGGTCGACTTCGGGCTTTGACCGTAACATATATATATATATATATATATATATATATATATATATATATATATATATATATATATATATATATATATAAAATCAGATTGTATTAAAATACTCATACAAAATAAAAGCGTCGTGATTTATACCTAAATATTAATGCTGCACTTACCAATCTTCAGTATGATGTTAGCAGTGTGTTGAAAGAAAAAAGATGTGTAGGTCACATTGAAATATTTTAAAATGTCTTTTAATTTCCACACCAGGGAGCTGTAAACGTAATCAATTCGGCTGTTATGGTCTTTGCCTCAATAAAAATCGTGAATGTAACGGAAAAAAAGACTGTCATAGCGGAATAGATGAACTTGGTTGTAGTAAGTGTGTACGGTACATGTTGTTATCAGTGGCGTAGCGAGGTCGGGTGTCACCCGGTGCGGCACTTAATGGTGTCACCTCCCAGAGGCGTAGCGACCCTTCCCGGGAACAAACTTTCAAGTTTTCGATTTGCACCCCCTCCCCCTCAAACTTTCGATTTGCACCCCGCCCCCCCCTCAAACTTTCGATTTGCATCCCCCCTCAAGTTTTTCTCTATATATTTTGCTATTTTTTGCCTTGGTTTCACCCCCCCCCCCTAAATGGTGTCACCCGGTGCGGTCCGCACCCCCCCCGCCCCCCCCCCCCCCTCGCTACGCCCCTGGTTGTTATGCATTATGTTTAAATCATAATCTGGTAATTTATTGTTCGCATAATATGAATAATATTTACTTAAAATAAGTGTATTAGAATTATTTGCATTCCGACTGTCTTATGGTTATTTTGGTCTTAAAATAGGAAAGCCAAATAAGCCGACAGTACACTTTAATACCTTAAAAACGTATGTTTATTCTGAAAATAAATAATACTTTCAGTACACACACACACATATATATATACACACACACACACCTACACACCATTTACTTGTAAGATAGAATATAATCAGATTGTATTATATAATAATATGCACACATTTAAATTCAGTACATCTTGATGCTATAAAAAATTATCTAATTAGTAATAAAACAGATAATGTTGGTTAGCTTGCCAGTTAAAGACAGTTACAAATCTTATAAACGTTTCGACCCAAGGTCTTCGTCGAAACGTCGATACTATTTGTACAAGTCTTAAATTTTTGTAAGGTAACTAACACTATCTGTTTTATTACTAATGGAATTAACTTCACTTCAGCTACTATTTTTTATTTATAAATGATCAAGTAGAAAACTTAAGTCAGGCTGAAATATAAGTTTTATCTTCTTCTTCTTCTTTGTTCTCTTAATTTAGTTGAAAAAAAAAAGAACTATAAAAATACATAATTATAGTTCACTGTTATTATATCCCGTTCACCATCATCTTTTCCCGTTAGAGCCCAAGACATATTGGACAGATGAATTAGAGTTCATCTGCTTCATGGACCCCGGCATAAGAAGGGATTGTGTGGTCAGCTCTATGCCAAGCTGACTTATTCAAGGACTGATTTAAACTCAGATTTGAACTAGAGTTTCTTGGGTTAGCAGTCTAGCTCTCTACCGCTAGGCCACGCCGTCGGATTTAATTATAACTAGTTATGTTTTATTGTTACGAACATGATAACCTAACTCAAGACAAAGTCTGTTGGAACAATAAATTTATTTCCACCAAATAAAAAAATAAGACTATCAAGTTACGTTTATAAAGTATATAGTTAGTTAACATAAATAATACAATAGTAAACCTAGATAATATATATTAAATCTAATGTATACCAGCCAGATGTAATGGTAAAGCTTTCTTCTGTGGTAACGGGGTTTGCATCCCACGTCATTTTAGATGTAATGGCAGCCCGGACTGCTCTGATGGACGTGATGAACTAAATTGTAGTAAGTGTGTGATGATTTGTATTTTCACTTAGAATGGTTAAATCAGAATATAATACGATTTTTCTTTTTTTTTCTAAAATTATGACAACTGAAAAGATTGTTTATAGTCTGGTAAATACTTGTAGGGCGCGTAAAAATGAGAATTAAAGAAGCTAAACATATAGGCTACATAAGTGAAATTCTTGGGGCACAGCATTGATACATGCACATATATGCACAGACATTCACACACACACACGTTCACACACTCACACACATACATATATATACATAATATGCATATATAAATAAATAAATAAATAAATATATATATATATATATATATATATATATATATATATATATATATATATATATAAAGAACAAATGAAAGTGTTTATTATGCGCTGTAGTTATACATTTAAGATCACATATTATCATCACATTATTTTAAAGCACTGCTTTAAATAAATTTCGTCTTGATATTAACCTTTATGTTTAATTAGCGATACTATACATCATCTAGCAAAACGCTAAACTAAATCTAAAATTGCAGTTTTTTTATATGTATATCTTTTTGGAGACATACTATAGCATCGTACCGGACTTGACTTTTTATAAATCGATGTATGAAAATTCGCTCGTGTTTGAAAGTTTATTCACATTGAAATGCATCTGTCTACAGTTAGTTCAAGTTAAAGAAGTAACAATATCTTGTCAAGTATATTGACATGAATCAAAGCTTAAATTAAATCGCTGCTTTAATGCGTTAGTTATTTTCGGATATTAATTACACGTTAAATCCCCTGTTAAATTAATCACTTTAAGTCTCCTAAAAATGTTACGTAATGTAATGATATGTCTTATCAAAGATGAAATAAAAAGGAATTTATAATCTTGGCTTTATTTACTTTGTTTTCAAGCACGTTGCAATGATGACGCTTTCTTTTGTGGGAGAGAACTTGGTTGTATTCTTCAAATTAAAAGATGTGATCTCGTAGATGACTGTAGTAACAACAAAGATGAAGCCAGTTGTGGTAAGTGCGACTGATACTTATTTTTTGCATTGTAGGTTTTTAACGTCGCAAAGTTTTTTTACGGTTACGCAATCGTATACTACGCTTTCATACGATTGGTTTCCTTTATAAGTCACAAAGCTTATTAACTCACCAATCCATCCTAAATCGTTCCGATTTTAGTCGGCTATAAAGCGCCACTTCCCCACCCGCCATCTAGAAAAACTGGAAAGGGTTTTTTGTCGATCAATGTTTCTTAAGTGTATATGTTTTACAGTCATGTAAACAGTTAAATCAGTATGGGTAGGCTTGTAGTCGTTAACTTTCCGAAATGCAGCTTAAAATGAGCTATTATTTTTTTTCTACCTACCCTTTTTGCGCCCTAAATAGTGTCGGCGCCCCCTGACATCACCCCATATCTACGTCTCTTCACCCGGCTTCCCTTAGCTACGCTTCTGGTAATATAATGAGATAGTAATTGAAGATTTTTATTTAATTTTAATATGCTGGTTAAGTGATCGCTCGAGCGCTTGACGCGGCTTTCGAAAACACGTACAAATTTTAACTGGGCATGTCTCGTTTTCTCTAACTTTGAATTAGACATCTTGTTAGCCAGGGAGATATTTAGATTTCCAAACTAAATGAATTGTTTGCACCAAAAGATCCTAAACAGAATTTCAAAGAAAAATTCTACTACACTCTCTCGGATAACGGCATACAGTCTATAGAAGAGCGGTTCAAGGGAGTTTAGGGGTCCAAAATCCGAAAAAAATTGCAGCTTGATAGACTAGTGGTTTTGGTAAAACAAAAAAAAATCTACCACAGCAGGGATTGTTATACAGTAACTATCACACTCGGGTAGAGAAAAAAAATGACATTAGTTGTAGTATGAAACATAGGTTAACCTTTAAACGAAATCCATGAATTATTTTTCTTCTTCAAATAGTCAAAATTATTAAAATAAACCACGCTGAAGATTGACTTAACTTGAAAAACCAATTAACTCAAAACTAATGATATAAATGCAAACAAAAAATGCACTAGGCATGTAAAGAGAAGAAGCAATTAAACCAGAAACATTAATAAAAGTCAGAAATTAATATAAAGTTGGAAACTATTGATATTCATTTTTGGCAAACATTAATAACTCCACCCTGTAAACATGGGCTTTGTGTGTATTTTATTCTATGTGCACAGATACATATATATATATATATATATATATATATATATATATATATATATATATATATATATATATATATATACATGTATATACATGTATTTATATGTATATGTATATATATGTATATATATATATATATATATATATATATATATATATATATATATATATATATATATATATATATATATATATATATATATATATATAGTCAATTTATTTATCATTTATTTGTTCATTGTTTTACACACTTTTTAGTTCTTCATAACCACAATAGTAAGTGAAAATTTTAAACATCATTATTATATCTTGTCTTATTAAGATTTGCTTTTTAATATAATAATATATTGGCATTTTTCGATTGAGCTGCAAATAAAGTAGATTAATTTTCTAAAACTGTAATATAGCGTGGGTCGCTATATTATATTTTGAATACTTTAAATAGTCGAGAAGTTACCCACGGTATTTTTCTTTAATAGTACTTTATTATCACAGGAGCTGACCCGCGACGTAGTATACGCCGCCATCTAGTTGTTTTATTTTTCTGCTTTGTGAATTCAACACTACCCCATCCCACCCTCTTCCCCCCCCCCCCTCCGTCCCGCCCACTAAAAGTAGCCGTTTACAGACAAAGAAAAGATCGATCAGAAATTGTTACCTCCCCTTCGTTTCAAATCTTAAAAACACAGCTCTACGATTGTAAACATTCGAGGTGAACCACAGCTCACCTGACAGGTGGGGATGAGGGTGGTGGCTATGTTGCGTGGTGTTTTCTATGGTCTCCATGAATATAATTATAATATACATAGATATTTAAGGAAAATAAGTTTCTTCTTTTTAGTGTCTAACTAGACTACCCGTTATCTAGTTAGATAACTGGGAATTTCGGGGGTCGTCAATTAATGACATCACGTCTGTCACTTATCATCACAAAATAACCAGACCCCACATTCAAAAAGACGTCACACCTCAGACGTTTTTGTCTTTTAAAAATACTGATTTCGTCTGAGCATGGGTCTGACAACATAATCTGTTCATATGCTGAGGTCACAAAAACAAGTCAACTCTACTTCACCTGCCCAGTGTCCTCCCAACTCAGAAATGTTTTTGTCTTTGAAAACATAGATTTCGGCTGAACATGGGTCTGATCACACTAAGCATGGGTCTGACCACACTATCTATTTATATGCTTACGTCACAGGTGAACTTCACACCTACCCAACAGTACTTCACCTGCCCAGTGTTCCGCCAAGTCTCAGACATGTTTTATCGTTAAAGAAAATATTCCAGCCGAGCATGGCTCTGACACACTATCCACGTTACATACTGAGGAAAAAAAACAGGTGAACTCTTTTTCACCTGCCCTGCATCCCGCTAAGTTCCATTAGGCAAAGGCAACTTTATCATTCACAACTTAAAAAAAAATCAAAATTAAAATTCAGCAGTGACATGTCTCAAACCCGTGCCACCCACCCTCTTAGCTATCTAGGCTCGTATTCTCAAGTTTGTAATAACTTATGTATTTCATTTTTAGTCTGCGTAAGAATCTACGCGAATCAGCCCTAGATCTAGATTATAGAATTATTTCAAATTAAAGTTTATCTTAAATTAGCCAATTGCGTAGCTTAACAAACAAAGATTTATATAAAATAATGACAGTCTGAAATAGTTTAGTATGGAAACTCATTATTATCTAGATCTAGAGTTCTAAGACTTGTTTGATTAAGTCTAGTTTTTGCCGTAACTCTTGCTAAATCTAGATCTGGATTCTAGACCGTAGATACATACCTACTTAAATGAACATTGATATTAGCGTTGGAAAGTAATAGAAATAGCAAACGGACGTATCGTTAGAGCTATAGTCGACAGAAACGTAGCTTTAGAACGCGTTAAGCGTTGGAATGGGCAAGAAAATCATGTATTGAAGCCGCCATTAATGTTGTAAAAATTAAATAAATCATGTGACATCACTATTCACTCTAAGTAAAGTCATTGTTCTGAACTTTTCTAATTAATTAGATTAATCTACCAATGAATAAATAAATACATTAATTAACGTCTTTAAATAAATTTGTGGTAATTATACCTATGAATAAATCAATAAATTAATTAACGAAAAATTTGTGATTAACAGCCTGTCTGAAAACAAAAATCGTTCTCTACCTACATACTATTTTACAGCTCTACAAACAAATAAATATTCAAACTTGTAAACAAACTTGAGTTTTAATAGTATATAAATAGATTATAATTATATTTCTTGATATTGAAACGTGTTAATGCATTTTTTTCAGGTCCTACATGGTTATATAAATTAGGGAAAAGTTAGATTTCTCATGTATTTGAAATTCCCAAATCTTACAATCGGCTGTACAAAGTAATAATTTATGGTATTTTCATCACCTACTTTTGTTACTTTTTACCGTTTTTTGTTTTCTGTTTGCAGTTTTTTAACACTAAAACGCCAACAACATTTTTATTTAATGAACAATGACCAACATAATTTCAGTTATTTTTCTTCATGCAAAGATACAATTTCTGTTACGAGGGAAATGTGATGTCTTAGCATATAACAAAGTATATGGTAAATAATATTCAAATTTTCAAACTTTTTTTAAGACCATGTAGATTTCTTCTGACCAGTAGCTCTTTCTAAAAGTTGTCTAGACCAAAGTTTTGTTTTAAAATATACAGAAATATAAGACGTTTAATTTTGATTGCTAAAAGTGCATAATTAAAAAGCTTTAAAAAGACTTTAAAGGTACCGAAATAATCAAAATAGCTGAGTTTTTTTTGGTTTCTATGACAACCATAATTGTTTTCAAATTGGTTTGCATTCTACACAGTTGCTTTTTTTTTAAGTTAATGTGTACATTATAAAACAGTCATGAAAGCATCTGTTAGCATAGACAAATGTACTGGCTCATGAGAATATTAACATATTTTTGCGACTAAAGCTTTTATTAAAATTTGTTTGATTTGCTTATTTTCAGTTCATTTAAAAGTTTGTTGCTGTAAAAGTTTTTTATATTAATTGTTTTATTCATAAGAGCCTTTCGCTTTGGACATATGTGGTTGATGTAATCAAGTCTCACTGTTAATATATTACACTGACACACAATGTATTGACTGATCCTTTACATGTTTCATTCAAGGGGATATGCTAAGTAAAAAATCACAAAATTTCTTGTTTTTCGTCATGATTGGTTTCTTGCATTTTTGGATACTTTGTCCATTTTTGTATTAAGAAAATATTAACTTAAATTAGAAAAACAATTGCATGTATTTAAAATACCATTTTTATTACCCTATTAATTAAAAGTAATTATTTTTCCCAATCTTACAAGCTCATCACGAAATATTTATAACCGTCATCATATTGTATTTGGCATCATTGGAAAACTGTATTTCTCATATATTTGATTATCATATTTTCCGCCATCTCGAAAACATCCAAGCTTACAATCGGCTTTACAAATTACACAAATATGCTATTTTTGTGACCTACTTTTCGTTACTTTTTGCTTTTTTTCTCAGTTCGCAAGTTTTTAACATTAAAAAGCCTACTTTTTTTTATGCATTAAACAATGCAAACCATATTTTTAGTAATTGTTCTTCATGCAAAAATACAACTTTTGTCACGAGGGAATTGTGATGGCTTTCATAGAAATAGAGTATTTGGTAATTAATATGCAAATGTTTAAAAATGTGGATACTAAAAATTGTGCGTTCTTTAAGACCTTGTGAAATTTTTACTAGTGGCTATTTCAAAAAGTTGTGTCAAAAGTTTTAAAATATACTGAAATATAAGCAGTTTAAATTTGATTGATATAAGTGCATAAATAAAAAAGCCTTAGCATTTTTAAAAGTACCAAAAAAATTAAAATGGCGTTTTTTTTGGGTTTTACATGAAAACCAAAATTGTTTTCCACCCTTTTTTGTTTTTTTTTTGCTGTTTAATAATTACTTTCATGTGCCAAACATGGTAATAGTATTCAAAATGCTTAAATTGTAAAAAAAAATAGAAAAAAATCTTAGCATATCCCCTTAAAGGGGTTTATCAATTTATGGCATAATGCTAAATAAATCTAGGCATATTCTCTAGCACACTTTAATATAATGAGTGGCCATTTGTTAAATTTATACAGTTATCATACTTGACTCATTAGGATTCCGTCAATGTCAGGTTTTTTGTCAAAGACTATCCAACCTATTTTATATTACATTTAGTAGCACCAATCTGAAAGTATAGCATCATAATTTTCTTTATAAGTTTAAAAATTATATTTTAATAGTCTAAATAAACAATATAATTAATAATGCTACTTGCTATATGCTATTATGTGTAATGTCTTTTTCGAATTCAATAAAAGGGTAGAAAACAAGGATTTTAATCATTTTTAAGCGTCTTACAAATGTAAGTCAGACTTAGAAGCTGAATAGCAATAAACATCTTAGACGGGATTTTGCTTCCGTCAGATGATGCGGACATCTACGTTATCCGAATCTTTGACTGGCAAGTTTAGTAGATTTAGGTTTAGCACCCAGAACTCCGCAGTGCCTATCTTAACATATGCACATCTAAGATCCGCTGACTAATCGTCCTTCAAAGTGAGGGTGGGGGGGGGGAGTTTTATGTACCATTGCCAAACTACACTAGGCCAGTGTTCCAGCGTTTCGGTCCCCCAGCGCTCTTGGGCAATGTGGCGCCTACGTTCGTTTTAAATAGGGACACGGCGGGTCACTACATTTGATGACCGCACTGAACAAGGCAACGCAACAGGGAGTGTAGCCGGCAGATCAACAGAGCGCCCCTGACGCACTGACTCTTGGGCTGTGGAGGATTTGTTTCCACCTCCCTATTGCGGCTGGTAATAAACATACACTTACGGCCTGTGGCGACTGGCCTAAACATCTACGATCGAATAATTATGGCGCTGTCATAGAAGCAACGCTCGACAGGTAAGCTAGTATAAAAAGAAAGTATGTTTGTTTGTCTGTGGGTCTATGTGTTTTTTAAAGAAATTAATACACCGTTTATCCGATCGCCTAGAAATTGTGGGAACTCGTTGAGATGAATCCAGGAAAGATTTCTGCGAAAAACAAATTACGATTTCCGGAGGCGGCGTCTGAGCTGTATTATGCAGTTTGGCGCATAGAGTTCCCTAGCGGTTATCTTAGCTTCTGGATCTGTTTATTGACCGCTAAACACAGTGATCAATGTTCTACTTGATTCAAATGTCCAACTACACCATGTGCATCACACGGCGCTCCGGCGGTTGGTTGGTCCGGTGTGCCCAGGGCTACACCATGAGCGCTAATGTTCCTAAGCAAATTTGAATTAATTAAATCAGGCCCTATTGCACAGCGTACCTTTATATTTATTTGTATACTTTATAATCTATTGGATACCACTAATATTTTGGAAAAGACCCAAACTTTTCTTTATAGTTATTTATATAGTAGTGTCTTAATATATTTTTTAAAGAAAATCATTCAATTTTTTTTTTACTTTTTAGTGCTTTATAACACCAAAGCTTGTTGGATACATTGTCCATTTTTATGTTAAGACAATAACATCGTAAATGAGAAAAAAAATGTAGCGTGTGTAAAATAAATGACCCCTAATAATTTAAATAGTAATTTTTTCCCCCATCTTCAAGCTCTATAAGAAAAGCTTTAAACAGCCGTTATTATATTGTATTTGGCATCTTTGAAAAGCTGGATTTCTCATGTATTTCATAATCGTATTTTCTATCATCTGGTATTTTCGTGACCTACTTTTCTTTACTTTTTGCTGTTTTTCTTTTAAACATTAAAAAGCCAACCTCTTTTTTTTTATTTGTGAATATTTTGACTGTGGCGGCTGTAGTAGTTTTGAGAATAAAAAGGGTGTAATTTCATAAAAGACTGTAATAACGGATTAGATGACCTGAATGGTAGTAAATTTGTATCCCTGTGATTTAGCGCGTAATTGCACATAAAAACCTGACATTATTTAGAAATTTCTAAATATTTTATTATTATTTTTTAAATGTGTAAGCAGAAAACTGTATTCATAAATTATAAAATGTGCTTTTAGAGATATTAAAATAGAATGCAAAGACATAAATCAATTTTATAAAAAGTAGTTTATTTACATTATGATCGGTTGTGGGCCCCCTAAACGGCCTGCCCCCCCCCCCCACTGCTAGGTCTGGCGGCACTATAGTTCTGCCCCTGAATGTTATTAATTGCCCCGAAAATGTATGTTAACACCACATCTCCGCACTATAATTTCCTTGGACGCTTGACCCACAGTGAAGATGCGAGAGCCAGCCGTTTAAACCGTTGGCATAGACGGTCGACCCGCTGCTACCTGGACATGTACATGTTGTGTACGTGTACTTGGTCAAACCGTCCCTCACATACCGATGCGTCCACTGACCTACAGAGACCTGCTTTGGGCACCCATGAGGGTGCGACACAATAATCGTTAGCTTATCTACATCCGATAAATTCCAGTATTTGTTTTTAACTTTCCCGCGAAGATAATCGAAGCGTCGCCACATCGTGTCCAGCTCGTTGAGGAATTTTAGGTCGCAGGTCACTCGTTTCAACACACACCAGTCTCTCTCAACGTCCGCGCTGCTGATGTTCCAGCCATCAAGATTAACCACAGAGCTGGCGGTGTCGTCAAAGCCAAACACGCATCTGGTGCGTCGAGCCTCGCTCTCATCGAACACGACGTGTGTGGATGTCATGACATAGACCTCACCCCATACTGTACTGGGTGTGTCGGAGACTTGACACTCCATACACTGACAAGTTGTATCGCTCTGTGTATACTTGACTATACCGTACACCCTCCCCGTCGCCATCCTTATCACGTGACTCCCGCGATCCGCGTGACATGGGTATGACACTTGAGTGCCTGGGTAAAACTCTGGTCTGACTAGACTGGTAAACTTTGTCTTTATCTGTACAGTAATCGCCGCCTGAGCTTTTACGGTCTCAACCAACAGGTCGTCGTCATGGTAACGAGGAGGTAAATGGTGCCTGCAGAAATCTTTGAGAGGTATAAAGTCTTTGTGACCTGGATTTTTCTTACAGCCTAGCACATGTCTGTGTAGGTCAGCTTCTCCCCCGTAGCACATCTCAGCTTCATGACTTCCTACAAGTTAAAAATGTTAAAACGCATTCAAATTAACGCTGTAATATTACGATATATGCGACTTGTGGCCTAAGCGGTAGAGCGCAGGGTGCTAACCAGAAATATCCGAGTTCGAATCTGTGATCAAATTAGAATGTCCCTTGTTTCAACCAGCTCTGAGGGATATATAACACATGTTATGGAAAGTAAAGGCGGCTGGGCATAGTGTTGACTACACATACCATTAATTTGCCGAGGTCAAGATACATATGAATTCTACTTCATCTGCCAAATAAATCGCTAGATCTAAAGAGGATTTTTTAATGTATATTAAGATATAAAACATTTTAGACGAGTTGTGTTTGTTTGCCTATAAATAAAGGGAAATCTAAAAACTTCAGCTTATTAAAACATTCCTCAGCTAAGTAAAATGTAGCCTACCTGGATAGAACTTATGCATTTGATGGGTCTTTATAGTTGTATGAAACATCTTCATAAGAAGGACTTGAGTATTATCCAGTTCATTTTAATCTAGTTTAAGCACAATTTCATATGCTGATGTTCCTGTTTAAATAGCATTTAAAACAGCATGATTTGTGTTTCTTTAACTAGCTTATCTAATGAAAAAAAAAGCCAGATAATCACAATACAAAACGTATAACCTATAGCCTACGGCTTAAGTTAGATACACATTTTAACTGAGAATTCATGAATAAAACATTGATTGTTTATTTATTAGGAATGTATATACATGTTTGATAGATTATTCACATTTATTTAAATGTTAAAACAATTACAATTTTTAACATATAGGTAATTCTAATCAATAATAAATTATTGAGAATTTTGGGCTAATAAAGTTTAAATTAGTTCAAAAACATCATAGTTAACTTTTTAAAAGAATCACTTAATTCGAATTATTTAAAGCTATATTTAACATATTTAAAGATATTAACTAATATTTAAATTTAATTACATAATTAACATTTAAACTTAATTACATAATTAACATTTAAATTTAATTACATAATTAACATTAATGAACAGAAACCAACGTCACTTACACATCAGCTTTGTTTATAACAGCTTTATAATATGAACGACAACTCGCATTATAAACATCCAGGATACAATTATTCCGGAAAACCAGCCTCCTCATGTGATGTTCTGACTCAGTTTTATCACATTTATTTTTAGACCGCAGTAACACTTCAACTTGACGTAAAATACTTTACTGGAAAATTAAAGCGTAATCCTGGATCTAATATTACATTCAGTTTGTTGTCACATGAAAATTAATGCAGAATTTTTTTGGCAGTGTTTATAAACAGACGTTTTAAAATGTCGGTATTTAAAATGACAGTTGGGTTTTCACAATGTTGAATCGTGTTGAGCCACTTTAAAATAGAGGAAGTTAAATCTGTTAAGTGGTGTGTGACACTAAGTGTTTTAAGTACGTAGAATATTAGATACTTTATTTGTGTGTATGATATTACATACGTTAACAGTATGGAGAATATTCCACTATAACAGTATTGAGGATTTTACATAAGTCGGTAAAGCTCATGGTTGCTAAACCGAAAAGTCTCGAGTTCGAGACTCGTTAGCTGGGGACAGCCACTCCTCTAGGAGAGAAAACTCCAACATCAAACAACTGCTGCCTTGTACTTTGCTCTTGGTTGGACAAAGGCTATGGAAGCAAATTACAAAAAAGAATAACAGGGTGAAATCGTTGTCAATGTCCTCAATAGCGCATAACCAGTTGACACGTATACTTAATTGTAAAATTAAGAACGAAGAATAGACAAACTCTGCATGTTATAACGAATTTGCATTGCCATGGAAGTGTATTTACATTTTATTTAAAAGAAAGGAAAAAAAATTAAATACTATACTTAAATTAAGCTTATATCCAAAGATATGCTACACATATTTAAGGGTCATCCTTTTATTACCACGACACAGAACGGGGGGGGGGGGTCTAAAATTTATGTTTGAGGACGTCATTCAATGGATCACACTAAAATTACCAAACATTTTGTTCAACACTTTAATGTGTCAAAAATAAGTCAAATTGTCAGCATAAAAGCAATTCTGTAAGAAAGAGAGATAACTATCACAAAACGGAAAAATAAATAAGCAGGGGAACAAACTCGTAAACGAAAACAAACATAGTGTTAATACTTATAGTCTACCCATTTAATTCATTAAAACAATATTTCAAGAGAGACAACCTCGACATTACATAAAAGTCACAAAGATTTTAGTAAGTTATGTACCTTTTCAAATAGTACGATCCATTTCTTCTATGACCTCGGCATATGAAGGGATAGTGTGGTCAACACTCCGCCAAGCCACCTTAACTTCCCTATTTACAGACTTGGATCTGAATTTTCGACTTTTAGCAGTCGAATGTTCTGCCGTTCTACCCCACCGTCACTGAAAACAAATCGTTTAAAAATGTATGTCAATTATAAAGTAGGCGAGCAAACTCGTAAGCGAAAAAAAAAAATTGTTTACTTATACCCTCACCTGTCGTTTTGTAAAAACAATATTTTAAACATTTTCGCCTTCATTATTTTTACAATAAGTTTCATTTTTACAAGTGTTACCGGTAAATTGTAACAAATCGTAAAAATTATATACCTTTAGAGAATCAAAGAATTAAATGTATGTTTATGTATACCCGATTGTTATGACAGCTGTTATACAAATACTGTCAAAGCTAAATCAAGCAGTATAGATTAAAAAACGATTGAAGCCTATACTATAACTAAAAATCATTGGCTTAGTTGATTTTATTACATTTCAATGAAAGGATGCACTTAAAAAATAACCCAACGTGGTATTTATTTTCTTAGAACATTTCCAATCATTATATATCACAAGTGTATAAGACATATTGTGGTTTTGTAAAAAAAATGAGTTACCCAATTGCAGTTGGCAATCATCCTGTTTTTTTGTGTGTTTTTTTTTTATAAAATTCGCATAGAACAAATATGTGAAAAAAAAACAACAACTCATATGCAATAAGTTGAAATAAATACGAAAAGAAATAATATTTCAGGTCTCATGGTATCACCGAAAAAAACATCTTGGTGTTTTGTTCTTGGATATTTCCTCTCGAGACATTTTATCATTTGAGAGTATCTGTCCCGAGATAATTTGTTCTTTTATAAGGGATAATGTTTGTACCCATTTGTCATTAGGTCATACTTTATATATATATATATATATATATATATATATATATATATATATATATATATATATATATATATATATATATATATATATATATATATATATATATATATATATATATATATATATATATGTATATATATATATATATATATATATATATATATATATATATGTACAGAGGGGAGAGGTGAGGGAGAGTAAGGGAGATTTCTTCATACACCACTATGTTACTGAACTTATGATTATTGTCCGCAGTTCCTTTTTTTTTAATAAAACAAAGACACTAAACGAAACTTTAGAGATGTGTTTGTTATCTGTTGTAAATCACAATTATTTGACCAAAATGCTTGAATGTTCTCTATTCTGTTTAAAATAATACATAATGTAAAACACCCAATTTTAAGAAATGTTCTATAGGGCTAAGCATTTTGCGAAACTGCTGTTGGACCATTGCAAAATTGCTTTAACTTAACTAGAAACGGCCAAAGGTTAAAAGTATGACCCCATCTAGATTTCATTCCCTGAAGATATTCGTTACATAATTACAAACGTGTTTGTGAAATCCGTTTTTTTATTATGAATAATTTATTTCTTCTAAGAATTAGTTAATCGGCACAAAGACTTGTAAATTCTTTAGCTTTATTTACGATCACACGGAAAAAGATCCTCATTTCAGCAATGTTGTTAAGTAGGCCTATAGTTGATCTAATGTAATCGTCGTGAACATTTACGTTTAGAATTCTTGCGTAATTTCGATTACCTGGAATGGTAGCTGTTTAATCTTGCAGAATATTTAGGTCCGTCTAGTAAGAAAAACTACAATGAACAGGACACACTTAGCTCCCCAGCGGTGCCGGTCTGATAGATTTCTCATTAATTCCTTTAGTGTACCCAACAGTTTAAATACAGCCGGTGTCTGTAGTGCCAATCATTCACAGTTGACTCGGCATCAAGCAGCTCATTCACTGCATTTTTCTCTAGTGTTTGAAGTTATTAAAAAGGTGACAACAAAGACCTGAGACCGTCATATTACAAGGTACATTTAATTTTTTTTGTTTTTACCTTTCAATCCAATCTATTTATTATTATAATTATATATGACAACAATATCTATAATTTTGACACTGATTATTATAGTTAATTAAATATTTTTCACCAACACTTGGATGGGATTCTCATCGCTAAAGAAGAAAAAATAATATGCACGTAAATGTATTTTCTGTTGCAAGGTTAGATTATGTTTTTAAAAAAAAAGATATCGTTATGAATTTACTATTCCCTAAAATCATTTGTGTATCCTACCCTTGGGGTAGGCATATAATGATAACCAAGCAATTGCTTTAAAGTAGATTAAATCATTTAAGATTAATAGCATATAAAAAAACGATGTATCTTAATTAAATGTGCTTTAGGATTATTGTGTTTTACCTAACAATACACAGGCTGCGTTAAAAAAAAACATTAATTAGTATTTTAATGTTTTTTATTTTTATATTTTTATTAAATAAATAGAACACAAATGGACGGCTGCCGAGCTAATGATTGTATGGCTATCTTGTTAGTTGGCCGAACAAGACAAGGGAAAAGTGCCACGGGAAACTCTATTCTACAAAACAGAACCTTCAATAGCACGTCTCAGGCTGCTAATAATTTTAAAAGTTTCAATGGTTTTTCAACATTCAGAGGAAGAAAAATTCAAGTAGTGGATACCCCAGGTCTGTGTAAATCACAAATCGACAGGGAAGAGAAACATGAAAAGTTACTTGAGGCAATGTCAAACGCTAAAGCTTTGAACCCGGATGGTTACCATGCTATAATTGTTGTCATTAACTTTAGTTTATTTACTAATAATTCATCTAGTGAAGAAGATTTGAAGGTGGTTAACTTCTTGAAAGATATCTTTGGAAGTAATTTCATGCAAGATCGTGGCATTCTTTTGTTTACTGGCGGTGACTATTTCAAATATAATAAAGAAGTTTTTGAAGAAAGTCTAACCTTTAAAATGTGGTTGGCAAGACAAACCGATCCATATATTCAACTTCTTAGAGAAGAATGTGGGTCTCGCGCTATTTTGTTTAACAATATAAGCAGGGATAAAACCGTAAATGAAAGACAGGTACAAGAATTAATAGACATGATTGATAGCCTAACATATGAGAGGAGGGCAGAAGGCAGTGATACGTTGCTCACAGCTGAAAGTGACAGAATAATGGATACAGTGCGTCTAAACCAATTAAGTTCTATCGATAGGCCAATGGGACATATCGAAATTTCATCGAAACAATCGGAACCCACCTTTACAAAACTGCTGACGGTACAAGATACAGCAGACTCTCTTCTTGCTGCTATTCAAGAAGAGGACAAATGTTCTAATTCTTTGACGATGCCGGAAGAGGTTGTTGCATGTTTAAAGAAAACCGCCATCGAACTGTTAGAACAATGTAAAAATCAAGTAATAAATGAAGTTACGAAACCTATTTGTGAAAGCGATGAGGGAGCAGAGCAGACTAGTTATATTGTCAAAGAGCATGATGTAGAATTGCAATACAAGGACCAGTATTTTTCTTCAAGAGAATCGGATGAAGTTATTGAACTACAACAATCAAAAGAAGATAATCAGTTTCCGATGATGATACCTTTAACAATTCATGAATCGAAAACTGTAGTACTGAAAGAAGATAAAAAGCTTGAGCTGTTGATTAAAGATGAGGAAGAAGCTAAGCGTCGCATCGTACTGGCCAGGAAAGCTTATAACATACTGCAGTCCCAGGTGGCAAGTCTAGAGGAAGAACGAACGCGATTAAAACTGGAGTCTGAAGAACAACGACAAATAATTGAAGAGGCGGAAAACAACAGCCGGATGTTAAATCAAGCACAAATAGAGCACAATGTTTTAGATAAGATAATAAGGTACCTGCAGTCAATTGTATATAGACCCCTAAATATAAAATAAAATATCAGTGTGACATTTTCTCAGTGAATAGATTTGAACTTATTTTTTTTTCTTTTTTCAAACATTTTATCCTATATTATGGAGGTTTTTATTAAATAATGTTCAACTTATTTTCTTTGTATTCAACAATGTATATTACTAGTTTTC